TATTCGTCTTAGTCATCCTCTTTCAATAGTCTCCCTAGTCCCCATTCATGGCCATAAACAAAGGGTGAGCTGATTAGTAACTCTAAGAAGGTCTGAATTTTCTCATCAATCTCATTATTCTATTTCCCCATCTGCAAATATGTGTCGATTCGATAGGGGTTCTCTGCAGGTAAGTGGTACAATGAATGGCAGACAAGTTTCCCCTTAGCAGTCAAGAGAAGGGACGTGGTTTTGCTTTCCGACAGCTCAAACAGGGAAGGGTACATTTTGATGGTACAGGCTTTAAGTATGTCTCAGTCCTTGATGAAGCTCCCTCTTTTTTTCTCCCCAGCCCACACCCCCATTCTAATGTGAAGATCTGGTACCCCAAGTTCTGCCTTGTGTCCGAGCACCCTCACCAAACCCAGCGTACAAGAGAGCTGCTTGCTTCACCCTTCCCAAAGCAACCCCACTATTTTGCTTGAAGAGGGATTCTCAGAGCTTTAACCTCAGAAGCATTGCTGTGGCCAGAGGTTGTTACACGATGGATGGGAGATGAGGAGCAGGGCAAAGAGCTACTTTAGACTTGGCAGTCCCTTATTTGGACCGAACTGCCCCCCAATCTGCTCCCTCTTCCTCCACCCCAAGCTGACCCCAAGCTTACTAAGAAATCTGGACTACTATTCAGGACTAAGTTTTATTCTGTTCTGGTTTCCCAATCCATATAATTCCAGTCGCTATTGCAAAAATGTCTCAAATGTTCTACTTTCATAACAATTCTAGCAGCTAACATGAATTCAACATAGGCTACATAGAAAAAAGTTTCTCAGGGATGGAGCAATAGTACTACAGGGAGGGCACTTGCCTGGAATGCAGCTGACCCAGGTTTGATCCCTAGCACCCCAAATGATCCCCGGAGCCTCACCAGGAGCGATCACTGAGGACAGAGCAAGGAGCAGGCCATGAATACTGGGTGTGACCCAAAACGAAACCAAAACTAAACAAAAAGAATAAGAAATCTGTGCTGGAGAGATAGCACAGCAGGTAAGGCCAACCATGATTCAATCTCACTGTTCCTGGTTCAGTCCCCAGCACCACCTCTGGCCCCCAGGGTACTGCCAGGAGTATGCCCTGAGCAGAGTCAGCAATAGCCTCTAGCAATGACAGGTATGGCCCAACTGCCCCACCCCTCAAATAAGGAACTTGCCCAGAGTTATAAGTTGGTAAATAGCAGTGACTGGATTCAGACAGATGATCTAGCTTCTAATTATTTTTTTTGCTGTTTAATATGATTATTATTTTTTCTTAAAGTAAAGTTATCGTGCCCATTTTGGAGCTAAAAGTGAGAAAGTAAGTGGGTGCATTCTGGCCACCATTCTGTTCTCTAGAACTAAAAGCAATGGCTTTTACTACACCATCATTTTAACCGTTTCTAGAAAATATTCAGGATCTAATGAAGGAATCCAGTGACAGAAAACAAGCCCTGTGAAACTGTTCAATCAAAATCAACCCAGATCATGAACTGGACTCCCCAAATGAAGTTTTCCATTTTGGGAATCCAATCCACATCCTATGTTGTGTAGCTGCTTTAAAAAAAAAAAAATGACACCAAGCAATGGCATTTCCATGTTCTTTGCAACCAACAAATTGACTGGCATTCCTGAGAAGATGGAAATTACCACGTGCTTAGCCCCATCCTCTTCTTAACACGGGACACATGTAACAAACCTCCAATATGCACTGTCCTTCCAGCTAGGCAGGAGACAGGAGAGCCACCAACTCTGTCCTCAGACAGCTGAGGGCAGCTTCCGGCACTCTCCACCAGAGTGCTGGGGGCCCCGCAGCACAGAACAAGCAAACGGGCCTCCCGGGGAGATGCCTGGAAACAAAACTTAGACCAGGTGTTTAAGGATATGCTATTTGTTTGAAGACATTCAACTAAATTTATCATCTTTTCTGTCAAATCTGTCCCCTCTCTTCACCTGTACACTCCTGATAATAAAAAATATACTAATAAAAATAATTTTTTAAATAAATAAAGGTCCATGCAGAAAGCCAGGGCCTATCTTGACTTTTCCTTCCTCTCCTTCAACCCATGTAATTCCACTTCTTTATATTTCAAATCAGTTATCTACTCTATCCAGACTACTGTCTTTGTTCCAGCCCTTGACAATGAAAATAAATTTGTAAGTGGGCTTTGAATAAAATCTCTTACCTAATTGAAAAAACAAAACTCATCCTTTAGCTAGCAATACAGCTCAGTGGTAAAGTGTATACTTCACATGTCCTAGGCTCTATCCCCAGTACCAACAAGTATAAAAACAAAAAGTTGTCCTGAAAACTCCCCCTGCACGGGACACAGTACTCCTCTGGGCCCTCTCAACTTCCTGCACTCTGTTTGTACCACGCTGAACTTCCCACATTTTCTACAAGCACCATGCCCTGTTTCGTTGCTTGGTTCCCCAGTGTAAGATGCTCCAACCCTCCCACCAACACCTGTGCAGTCTTTTCCCTCCTGAAAAGTCAGCCTGACAACCTCCTCTCTCCCTTCCGAGTAACACTTCTGCGGACACCCAGGCCGAAACACCTCTCAGGGCACTTGCCACCGAAAAATTTAAACTCAAATCAGTCGGTAGCTGCTGACTTGATTCTCTCATCTCCAGATCATCCACGCTCACAGAGCACCTGCTACAAGGGAGCAATCAAGAACTACGGAAAAGACAGAAGAATGAACGGAACAGTTAACGAATGAAGGTACTCAAGTCTGTGGAAGCTCGTGAGGTAATCAAAGGCGAACATGGAGAGAAAGACAGAGCACTAGAACAATGCCCCCTTGAGTGGGTAGGAAGGAAGAAAGAAGCTAGTGAAGGCAAACAGAATGAACAGTCAAAGAGATAGGAAGAAAACATCTAGGACTGTAAAGGTAAGAAACCCAAAGGAAGAGAAAAATGTAAGAGGGTGCAAGCAGTCACTAGCCTCAAACCCTGCAGGCAGGTCAGGGCAGGAGAGCACTGAGACAAGGCCCTGTGGACACTATTGATGTGGCACGACCCCCTCCACCCCCAGCACAGTGAGAGACCTGCATGCTCAGCCACTCAGGATCTGAGGGCTTCTACGGTAATCAACGGTATCAGACTTACCTGGGCTACACTCTTTTTCCACAACTGAAAGAAACGGAAAACCAACAACCATCACATGAAAACAAGATCCCACCATCTGGATACATTATTACCTTTGTTTGGGGAACTGGAGGGTGGTGGTGGTGTTCTATTTGTCAATAATAAGTATTATACTAAAGTCTGTAAACAATTTCTTAATTATTTCATTTTAGCCAAACCAACTTGGCTTCCTTGTTGCTAATGAATAAATTAGTGTTCTAATTTATAAATAGAAAAAGAAAACCTGGTATCAAATTAGACATGTGCACATCTTTCCTCCAAAAAAAAAAAAGGGCACTGAAATCACTTCTTTGTATCAATATTTAACTCAGCTATGTGATATGCCAACTCAGTAATTCATCTTAACTCACTCAGGCTTGACGTTATTCGTTTCATGCTCTGTAGTTTGGCTGCTGAAAATAGGTGGGACACCAGATAATCATCGAGAGCAGCTGCAGGATTTCCCCATAGGTTTTTGGTTTTAGTGTTTTGTTTTCTAATAATCTTGTCTGTCAACATTAGATACAGTGCTTTACAAATAATAAGATCTAAATGACAACATGAAGCATGCTTGCATGACAATTTGTTTTATCTAAAAAAACAGTGTGAGCAAAGTTACAATCGTTGGGGCTGGAGTGATAGTACAGAAGGTAGGCTGTTTATCTTGCACATGGCCAACTCAGGTTCAATCCCTGGAAACCCTAGCGGTCCCCTGAGTACCACCAGGAGTGATCCATGAGTACAGAGCCAAGAGTAACCCCTGAAGAGCCCAAAAACAAACAAACAAAAAAAAACAAAACAAATAAACAAAACCCCCAAAGTTACAACCCGTTCCTGAGATTTTTACTTTTCTCAATACAGACTGTTTTTCTGGGGCGGGGCAGTGGAGGGAAAAGCCAAAGGAATGCAACATCTCTAAAAGAGGAAGAATCAGGGCCAGGGCAATAGCATGGTGGATAGGGCATTTGCCTTGCACATAGCTGACCTGTGTTTGATTCCCAGTACCCTATCTGGGATACCAAGCCCCACCGGGAGTGATCCCTGAATGTAGAGCCAAAAGTAAGTAAGCCCTGAGCACTGCCAGGTGTTGGCTCCAAAAACGAACAAAAAAATTAAGAATCACTAGTCCTAAGGATGTGAACATTTGAAAAGCTTTTGATACATACTGCCAAGCTGAGTCCAGAGAGCAGTGTAAAACCCACACTACCTTCACTGTGCAAAACCACTTTCCTAGGCCCTTGCCAACACTGCCAAACTTAAGTTTTTATGACCTAACAGGTAAAAAAAAAAATCTTATTTAAATTGTCATACTTACAACAGTGAAAATATTTATTTGTTGACTTTTTCTATTTATAAACTAGTTATGTTCTTTTACATATTTTCCTCGAGGGCATTGCTTTAAGACTACTGATGGCTCTTTATATATCTATGATATTACCTATTTGTTATATTTCCCCTTTATTATTTTATTTAAGTTTAATATGAGATTTACTAATCATATTTAAAAAATTATTTCCCATGTGCATATTTTATTAATTGTCCAAAGTTCTTTTCTTCCTTTCTTTTTTTGGGATGCCTCTATTCCCTTAAGAATTTTAGTAATCTGGTTACAGCGTAATAGAGATACCAGTGAGATGATTTATCTTTACCACTGAACATACATAAGTCTAAGTCCCTAAAATAATTACAATTCCAATAGTTGTCGACATGAAACATAGGTTTAAAATTAAGTTCTTGATCTCTGTTACTCTAATTTTAGCTGTTTAGATGATTTTTAAAAACCAGAGCTTTGAGTTTAGAAAATTCATTCAATGTTCCCTTAAACCCAAATGAAGCACAGATCTCTTGCTAGTTATCACCCACCTCTCAAAAACCTGTTAGGGATCCTTATGATGGGACAGGACTGAATGAAGCGCCTCCTAACTGGGTCCCATCGTATTTTCTTCTTACCTGTTACCACAATTATCAGCAATAAGTCAGACACATACAACACATGGCAAATAATACATAGTTACTGCAGTTATAAAGACAGAAAAACAGGAAACAAAACAATACTTGAATACAGAAAGAAGTGATGCAAAGTAGCATTTAACCCTGTTTTGGAAGTCAAAACAAAATTAAATTAGTATATAAGCAGTGATGAAGTTTTCAACAATTATCTCCAAAAGAACACAGACAATTATGCGCACCATTTTTGGAATTCTGGTTCAAACAGATTTGCATTCAATAATCACCAATGCCATCTTGTGGCAAAAATTCAGCAGTTTTATGAAAAGAATAGAAACTGACTTTCTCTCTTTTTTTCAAAGTCGGCTGAAGCCAAAATAGGAACTCTGATTATAACCAATTCAGCACAAGTTGGGCTCCTGTTGTCTTCTGGGTTTTGGGAGAATTCTTTGGTCAATTATATGATTAAAGAGGATAAAGTCAATGGCACCATTTTCTAAAAATGAAACAAATGGATTTTGCTACAATGGAAATGTTACAGTAGCTCATTTCAACCAAATAAAACAAGCATTTAACATCTTGGCAGATGGAAGGAGATTTGTCTCCCTGTCCAGGAAGCCGTCAGCTCCACATCAACCCCAATTAAAACGTGCTGTCTTGGCTTTTTCCCTCTGGAGAAGCCCCAGTTCTCTCTTGAATATGTACCTCTCTTTCTCTCACTTCATAATTCTCTTCATTTCTTTAAATAAAACTGCTTTTTTCTTTTTTTAAGAAAAAAGAAAATCCTCACTTCTAGCACGTAAGAGAAATGCCAGATTTCACATAGAAATGTTAAATGGACAATTTAAATTTTGTCTCTTCTGAAAGTTTCAATAACTCCCAAAGATAGCTCTTGTTGGCCATAAAAACAATTAACATTGGAATGCATTCATTTTCCAAAGAGCTTTCACACACATATTACCTCCTTTGATCCTCACAACAACCCTTATGGATTCAAGGGTGATTTCTTAAGCACCTGCTCTGTGAGGGTTACAAAGGGCTGATACCCCAGTTCTCATGAGCTCCTGGGCTGAAGACTTCAGAAACTCAGTAAATCACTGCACTACAGTGAAACAACTGCTGTTAAGAGGGCATTCCAAAAACACTTGGAGGAAATTTTATCCTCTTAATCTTGCATTTAAAATGCTAAAGGAAAATTACATGACAACAATGTAAGAGGCAGGATGCGATCTTTGAGGTTCCACCACTAAAAGCTGCCTCCTCTCCATGCTGCCTACTCTGTCCCTGCTCCTCATCGTTTTGCTTTGGTCATTGGAAATATATTGAGATATTTATCAGCAAGGTCTGGTTAGCTTCATGTAGTAATTGTGCACAGAGACTATAAACTCTGGGCAATTAAATGGTATAATCGGCACATGTAGACTTAAGACAGACTCTTGGACAAGGGGGAGAACTCTTTATCCTACAGAAGAACTTATCTTTTCCTTCGCTAAGTCTTAATTAAATCACTAGTTTCGAAATGTTGCAGATCCTTGCAAGGCTAACACAAAAATCAAAAAATGTGGACAAGGCAATGCGCTTTTCAAATGCTTATATATTCCATTTAAAGGCCTGTCCTTTTCTCGGAGATTCGAAACTTTTAATATTAACATGAATAGTCAGTTTTCTTTACTTGATGAGATTTGGTGTAAAAATGGTTCCTGGGTTTACTTTTTCTTGGAAAAAGTTATTTACAAAACTATGGATATCATATATACTTTTAAAATTTACAGGTTTATGGCATCCATAAACATATAGAGAAACACAGTTTTAAATCAATATAGTATTTATTGATGACTCAAGTTCAACATTGTAAACCACACTGTCAAAGGATACATAAGATGTATAAACACTTCCCTTGCCCTCAAGAAGCTTAAATTCTAATTAGGGAGACAAGACAGACACAGAAAACAATTAGCAATACAAGACAGAATATAACAAGTGATTAGCTTATAATTTGACATTTTATGTATCAAAATCATTAAAATGTACATACCCTTTGACCCAGCTATTCCACTTCTAGGAATTTATTCCTAAAGAAATAATCATATATGCATGGAGAGATGTATAGACAAAGGTACCATGATATCATTTATAATGGTATAAAATTAAAAACACTTTGACTGTCCAATGGTAGGGAGATGGTTAAGTATGCTAAATAAGCATACTTAATTACATTCATATCCTACATTGCACTAAAAATATATAGATACAAGAATATTTACTAACAGGAGAAAACATTCATGATACATTGCAAATGAAAAGTCCAAGGTACAAAGCAGTACTAAAATTTGATACCATTTTAACAAAGAAAAAAGTGTGCACATGTATTCATGAAAAAATGCAGGAAGTATAAACAACAAATTTGAATTATGGTTTTCTCTGGGTGGTTAATATGAGCAACTTTTGTCTTTTTCTCCTTAGTATTTGTCCCAAGCTTTCTCATTACTCTTAGTATTACTTTGGGGCTGGAAATGAGATAATACGCTATAGTAATTTTTTTTAAGTTATGGTCAACAAAATACTGTCAAGAAAAGTAGCAAAGTGTAAATAGTGGCAATGTTTTAGGGGATGGGGATTATTCGAAATTGTGACGATTTATGTTTTAATGGAAAAATATGAGACAAGTTTTGAAAAACGAAGGGAGTAACAACAGTTACTAGTGAACTGGAGTTGTAATGAAAAATCCTTTTTTTCCCCCCTGGGGATCAGAGAGAGCACTAGTACAGCAGGTAGGATGCTTCCTTTGCATCTGGCCAACCTGAGTTCGATTCCCAACACCTCACATGGCCAGGAGTGATGCTGCAGTGCAAAGCAGCGCTAGGTCTGTGAAGGCCAGAGCTGCTCTATGGAGGTTATTCATATCACACAAGCACTGAGTTCAGAACCCACGTTTTCTTTCTGTACCCAAAGAACAGAAAAAAGGAGAAGCTGCACAGAGCCAGTATTTTCCTTTTCGGTTTCAGGTATATATATTCATGGTCTGTCATATTGCACTGAAGCTTCAGTTCTTACATATTCAAACTGTCAGACTTCATTTGTGATTGCTTCTACTCTTCAAAATAAAAACCATCATTCTTCAATGATGTCATCTATGTTTTATTTTTTGCTGACTTTAAGAAGTGTTTCTCATTTTTAATTTAGATTCTTCTGCGATAAATATGACACAGTCACTGACTGAATGGAGACAGTCTGCTGAGCACAACTGGGAGCAAGTTTCCTTTCCCCAAAAGTCCTGCCTTTAAAAAAAAAATATTCATAATCTAACTAAGTAAGAAATGCCTTCAGTGGGCTAAACCATGAGGCATCGCTGATCTGCTTGAAGAGCCTATAGCTCTGGGCACCACCCAAATGGAGGCAAGCAGCCCTCAGTGCGAACCAAGCTCCAAGGAGGGCAGCGGGAGGAAGAACTGGCAGAACTGAAAGCATGGGGGGTTGGGGGGACGGCAGGGAGGGGGGTGTTCAGAGAAGTTACAGAGCAGATCAGTCTCTCACACCTGACTCCACGGGGTAAAGCATTACAGAACGGAAGATTGGCCTCAAGAGAAAAAGCTGTGATACCTCAGGTTGGGATCACCAAGTCAGGACAGAGCCCTGAGTGGACATGAATGCCCTGGCCGAAGAGTTGATGCTTGCACAAAGTCTGGCAGTGGGTACTTCCTATCCCAGTTCAGAGTCAGGGTCAAGGTGCCGCAATCAACAGATAAATTCTGAAGAAGGAATTTCTGAGAAGAAAAGGAAGTCACAAGAAGACTGGCGGGACTCCCCCAAAATGAACAACACAAACCCAGACTTATTCATGAAGAATGGAGTGTGACCAACAGGGGAACGCCAACCCAAAGCAAGTCTACATGTGAAATAAAGACCTTAGAATAAGGACAATTAATGCCCTGATGAACTGACTTAAAAATCAACCTACCACTCATCTGGCAAAGGGTTAATATCCAAGATCTACAATGCACATGTAAAACTCATCAAGAAAAAAATCAACCTCATCAGAAAATGGAAAGAAGAGATGAACAGAAGCCCAAAGAAGGCATACAGACAGAAACTGAGAACTGGTCTTTACCAGGAAGCATGTAACTGCGGGGGGTGGGGGGGGGGGGGTGCGGGAAGAGTCAGATGGACAGGAGCTGTGTGGGACACCAGGACAACAGTGGAGGAAGCTGACATTCTGATGGTGGGTGTGGGGCTGGAATGTTGGATGCATGAACTTCTGCCACTATCGATACTGTGTACAAATCACGGCACCTAAAATAAAACTGTAAAAGATGGCATACAGATGGCCAACAGTATATATTTTTTAAATACTTTATATCACTTATCATCAGGCAAATGCAAATTAAAAACCAATTATCACCCCACACCAGTGAGACAGGCACACACCAAAAAGAAAAAGAAAAAAAAAATCAGTATTGGCCTGAAAGAGGTGGGGGAGGAACCCTCATCCACTGCTGGTGGGAATGTTCACTGGCTCAACCTTTTTTGAAAAATAATATGGACTCTTCTCAAAAAACTATGGGAATTAGCCTTCCATATGACCCAGCAATACCTGTATTCATTGGGGCACAATTCATAACCTGGATTCATAATTTCAAAACCTGGAAACAACTCAAGTGTCCAAGAACAGATGATTAAAGAAACTATGGTACATACACTCCACAGACTACTACTTGTTTTAAGAAACAATGAAACCAGGGCCCAGACTGATAGTACAGTGGGTAGTGTGCATTCTTCACACATGGATGACCAGGGTTCAGACCCTGGCACCACATATGGTCCCCCAACCTCACCAGGAGTGAGCCCAGATGACAGAGGCAGGAGGAAGTCCTGAGCATCACTGGTGTTGCCCAACCCCACCCACCTATGATCTCCTCCAAAAAAAGAGGGAGGGAAGGAGAAAGGGAGGGGGGAGGAGGGAAGGAAGGAAGGAAGGAAGGAAGGAAGGAAGGAAGGAAGGAAGG